GTCGGACCGCAGCTAACAATTATCTCCGTGTGCATTTCATTCTCAGCAATAGCCTAGCCTCCCCGGCGTATACGACCCATCTGCTGTCTTTAACATCAATCAATTCATTCATGGATGTAGAAGACTCGAAACAACTTCAGAAATAATCACGACGAAAATTTTAACAAAATTACGCAATAACAACAAGACACGAAAACAACAAGTAAACACAATGAATCCAAAATACACCAATTGATATGACACACCACACGTATATACAAATAGTACAAACAACCTCGCCGATCATGTCTTGGTGGAATTCCTTTGAAGAATTGCAGGACTTACACCAGTACGCCTACAACCCTTCTCAGGTTGACGATTGTAATTTGTGGAATGTCCAGACACAAACAAGATTAACCAACAATTACATCAATTGGAACTCACACAATTATTTAACACAAACATATGTACAATCAACACATCAAATGTTGTGGATTCTGGCACGACAAACTACCCTTGAAGAACTGTAGGACTTACAGCAGTACGCCTACATTCCTTCTCAGGTTGATGATCCAAGTGGAAGTCGTCCGGACACAAACAGAATTACCAACAGCTAGATGACAGATGATATCAATTCAGTATATACAATATGAACATATGTACAAAATCACACACCAAGCACATTGGACTGCTCATTGATGCGCTACCCTTTGAAGAATTGTAGGACTTACACCAGTACGCCTACAACCCTTCTCAGGTTGACGCCCTAGGTTGGAAAATCGTCGCAGAGTTCATTTGCTAACTTCCTTCTATCAGCTATATCCTCAAATCTGAACGGCAACACGCCCATGTCATTGTATCGTAGAATATAGATGACCAACAAACACACGACATATCTCATCAACCAAGTATAGAAACAGAGTAATTTACACCAAAGATAATAACATTCAAATAGTAACTTGAAACTAGAAATGCCTTTATTCGTGCAAGTCAATTTAACAATAACTCTCTCCTTTACACTTGGCTTATCCACACTAAACTGACCATTGATATTCGTCCTTTCAAACGAACTGATACTACCATAGTCATTGCAAAAGATACTTGAGTTGATGGGCATCTGTTTCATTGTGGATGAAAACACCAACGATGACTGAGTGACACAAGGTGATGAACTTAGCGGTGGATCAGAAGCTGTTCTTTTTCGGCTTTCAGATAGTTGTCCAACTGCAAGATTACCACCACTGCTGTCTTTCACTACTAGTTCGGGTTTAGCACTATCATCTGATGATAGGTGGGCTACACGCTGATCAATTACACTGACTGTCTCACAAGTATGCACACCTTTTGGAACTGCATCTGCGTTCAATTCTACTTCACGTTCAAGTTGTACAGAACCTTTATTTAACTTAGCAGTAGTAGGCATATCCCGCATCTCATCATGATCAACCAAAGACAAATGTGAAGTATCATGATCATTATCACGAATATTCAATTTACCGTCAAGTTCATCATTTTCAAACTCTTTAATAACAGAAGTAGACAATTTTGGTTCCTCCTCGCAAATCATAAAGGTTTTATATCTTCACTCTGACTAGTAATACCTTGTAAACTTGTCAGAACTGCACTCTGAAGCAGTAACTCTATTCTGTGACACTCTATTCAACAATGGCTTACCAGTTGCAACTACAGACTTCTTCACAACACCGTTATCGTCACACAATTCGGAGTCAGGCCTGGAGTTTACATTTAGCTTATCACTGAACTTGCTCACCGGTTCACAGTTCACTTCTGTATGCACCTCTTGCACACGTGTAAAACACAACCGTGTTTGTCTTGCATCTTGTAACTTATCTGTTGAGGATGTACTACGAAACCTGTTACACTCACTAGGTCTATATGCATTACTAGACATCATGGAGCTTTCTCGATATCCACCTCTCTGAGGCCTACTCGTCATCAATGATTGCATTTTGATCTCAGACTGCTCTATTCTAGGGGTGAGATCTAACAGACTGGCGAACTTGCTCATAGATTGATTGACACTATCTTTTACCAGTTTCAGGATATCATCAAACTTTGGCTCGATACCCTCATCCTCCATACGGGAGCTTATCTTCACCCACTTCCTTTGCAGTCGAGTAGGTAGACGTCTTGCTATTACTTCTAGTATAAAACTCGAGTTGAGGTCACTCGTGCGATTCATCGAAATCATTCCATTCTTGTAAATTAGCAAATTATCTAAAAACTCAGTGAGTGCCTGGGAGTCATCCTGTAATTGACCACCATTACCCTTAACAGCCTCGAATAATTTCCCTGCAATCATCGAAGGTCTTCCAAACCTTTGACGTAATATGCTCATAGCCTCGTAGTAGCCCTCTTTTGGCTTCATAAACTTACAACACTGTATAGCTCTTGCAGCATCTCCAGTGCAATATCTCATCAAATACATCAATTTCAATTCATCATTTAATAAAAAACCACTCAACATGATCTCAAACTCCTTTACAAATTGTAAATAATCAGCCGGGTTTCCATCAAAACATCGTGGTTCAAATTTAGGGAGTTTGATGTTCCTATTATCCCTGAACGGCGAAACAGTAACATCAACCATGTCATGCTTAACATCAGACACATCGTTACAATTAACAGACAAGTCACCATGACTTACTTTCCTGTTTGCATCCAAGACACTCTGTCCCTTCTTTGACCCAGGCATTGTTGAACTTGACCCAATTCCAAAAAAGTTCCAGATATTGCTTGTTCAAAGAGGACTTGACCGGCACCAGGAATGATGAACGGCGACTATCCAAACTTTCACCAACTGTTTGAATCCGCCAGATCTGTTTCTATCGTCAGAAACTGTCAATCACATCTCATAAACCGTTAATGCCCAGCTCTCGCTACGCTCGGGCCCACGCTGTTCTTCGAAGATTTCGGAAACGCTTAGTTATAACGGACGCAAAAACCAAAACACCGATCTGCCGCGTGAAATTTGTTTATTGTTACACCAACATATAAAAGGAATAAGCGAACTAAGGTCTGTAAACAAATATTACAATAATAAATCGTTATATTACTTCTGACGATGTTTCACTCTTCTTTCTGAACAGCGACCGATGAGACGATGACTGTCGTATTGATGCCTCCGCGAAAATTGGTGAAGTTGGTTTTGAGCAAACAACCAAGAATTGATCGTTCAATCTTCAACTCCATTGACAACACTAGATCGTGTCACTTCACCTTTTATACCTTGGTGCACTCCTCGAAAGCTGTCGGATGAACCACCTTGGATCACTAGTAAAATAAGGAGGTTATTAAGACGGCGAAAGAACTTATGGGACCAATTTGTTATGACAGGAAGGGAAAACTTCCAGAAAGACTAGCGCAAAACTCGAAACCTCTGTATGTATGCGATTAACTGGAGTCGTATAGAGTACGAGAGACGATTAGTACTAGATTGCGTTCATTACCCAAAAATGTTTTACTCGTATGTTAAACGTAGTACTAAAACTAGCAGTGGTATACCGTCACTCATAACCATTAGTGGAGAAGCGGCTGAGTCAGACGAAGGAAAGGCTGAAAACCTCTGTGAATACTTCTATGACGTCTTCTCGTCTGATAGTACCACCCAGGGATATGGCGAGATCACTGCCATCGCCACTCAGATGCCCTCAATTGTGGTAGAGCACACAAAGGTTCTCAAACTACTGTCTAAACTGAGGCCAGGTAAATCACCTGGGCCGGATGGACTTCACCCTAAGCTGTTAATTTCCTTGGCGGACGTAGCATATATTCCGCTTACGGAGATTTTTCAAATGTCTCTGACACAGGCTAAGCTACCCAGGGACTGGAAGGATGCCATTATAAGCCCTATCTTCAAGGACTGGGATAGGCAATTGGTATCTAACTACAGGCCGGTAAGTCTGACATGCATTATTGCAAAGGTATTGGAAACTATTATAAGGGATCAACTATAAGCTTATGTTGAAACACATGGCTTGTTGGCTGTGGAACAGCATGGATTCCGACCAGGACCATCCTGCTTGACAAACCTACTTTTGGCTAGGGAGGACTGGGTTGAGGCTAGAGATAGGAACCATCTGTTGGACGTGGTTTTTATTGATCTTGGCAAGGCGTTCGACAAAGTATCCCACTTAGGTCTCCTTAGTAAACTTAAAGGTTTCGGACTAGACCAATGCCTATGTGAGTGGTTTAGAGATTACTTAATGGATAGAAGACAGAAGGTTAGAGTTAACGGTGTACCATCAGGATGGAAAGCAGTATTCAGTGGAGTGCCCCAGGGAACTGTAATAGGTCCATTGCTATTCCTATTATACGTTAACGAATTACCAGGGATTCTTTCTTCATCTTCATTATTATTTGCAGATGACATTAAGATATGGAAAACTGTAAATAATAACGAGGATAGGTTGGCCCTACAAACTGATTTAGATAAATTAGCTGAGTGGTCAAGCCTATGGAGTTTGGAAATGAATGCTAGGAAAAGCGCGGTAATGCACTTAGGTCAAAAGTCTCACGCGTCGTACTCCCTAGGGACGCAGAACTACCTGATGTTAACGAACAGAAGGACCTAGGAATAATTGTCAGCAATGATTTGAAGACAACTGCAAATTGCAATGCAGCCGCAGCCAAAGCATTTCGAATGCTATGGGCAATTTGAAGGACTTTCAAACGACTAGACGAGGGCATGTTCCAAATACTCTACGCAACATATGTCAGGCCTCATCTAGAATACTGCATACAAGCAACGAGTCTATGCTTCAAAAAGGAGGCACATATTCTGGAAAGAGTACAGAGAGTAGGAACAAAATTAGTTAGTGGTATCTCACACCTTCCTTATGATAAGAGGATGGAGCATTTAAATCTCTTCCCGTTATCATACCGAAGGAAGAGAGGTGACTTAATTTTAGCATACCGTATACTTAAGGGTGATTTAGGAACTGAACTTTCTAACCTTTTCCCCCCTTCTAGGATACATTTACGGGGTCACCGCAAAAAGGTGCTCAAACCAAGGACGATTAAAATAAGTGCAGAATTTAAATTCTCTCACAGAGTGGTCAACGATTGGAACTCCTTACCTGATTCAGTAGTATCAGCTCCATCGGTGAACGCTTTCAAAGAGAAGTTAGATCTCTGCAGAGATATACTTTGCAAGGATTAACACAGGCCACAAGAGCCTTCTATCCTTATCATCTGAATCTGAATCTAAAGCTCTTGAATTCTGGTATTTTGTGCTTACTTCAATTTCAAGGTCACTCTTCGGTGTTGCTCTTATATTTAGGTGTGAGTTGTTTTTTATTCATAATGGTGAACTACCAGTTCTGGTTTTGTAACACTTCAGGTTTTCACTTCAAGTGATCGAACTTACAAAAAAATGCATGCATACAAGATTGGTACTCATAATAGTTGATTATAACCTAGACTGCAAAAACAATACTAGACGTACATGGTGTTATGGGAATTATTCGCCAGAGTTTTCTGAATTTTCTGTGATTCGTCCGTGTTTCCCAAAACATCTGCAGTGTAGCTGAAGTAAATGCTTGGTGTGACAAAACGACATTGGTTTGGTTCCATTCACACCGAAATTTTTTAGTATAATAAGGAATGTTACCTGATATATATGGTTCCATAATTAACGCCTGTTGCGACGCATTCAAGAGTATCATTGGCCTAAGTACTCTTTAAGGCAAATCTTTTACTTGAGCATAGGTAAATTGGATAAAAATATAAGTAGTACTTTGTTCTAAATTGGGAAAAGTGGTTTATTTCTGGAAATGAAATGAATCATGTTAAAAGAAGAAGGTAGCATTGTAGGACAGATTGGAAAAGGTAGTAGATGTGAGTATCCTCTGCTGCATTCCACCCACCATTTGCCCACGTCTCAGATAATCAAAGTTGTTCACTTTCAGATTCAGATTTATTGGTTGAGGATAGAAGGCTTGGTGTCTATGTTAGCCCTTTTCTAGTAAGCTTCCGTGGTTGTCCAAACCCTTCTTGAACGAATCAGTTGAGGTTGCAGGTACCACTTCTTCTGGGAGTCGGTTCCAAGAGTTTATGACGCGATGTGAGAACCAGTACTCAACAGCAATATGATTTCTCCTTGGCTTTTGAACTCTCCTGCTATGTCCTCCAAGGTGTTCCGACCTGGTGAGAAGGAAAAGAGAGAATATGTCAGGTCCGTAGTCATTATTTAAAATTTTAAACATTGTGATTAAATCTCCTCTCTGCCTACGGTATGACAGGGAGAAGACATTTAAACCGTCTAGTCTTTCCTCGTATGATAAGTTAGCTATGCCGTGAACCATACGTGTTGCCTTTCTTTGAACCCTTTCTAGAATGTGTGAATCCCCTTTTAGACACGGACTGGCGGCCTGGATGCAGTTTTCCAGTCATGACCTCACCAGAGATCTATATAAGGAAGTGAACATATCTCTGGTAATTCTTGTAAAGGCTCTGCGAATTGCCCATAAGGACCTGAAATTACGTGTAGCCACCGCGCAACATTGTAATGTTGTTTTCAAGTCGTGACTAACTATAACACCTAAGTCCAAGTGAGTCTGAACTGATGGAAGTATTATTCCCTCTAGTTCGTAGGAGCTTGTGCTTACTTGTCCAATGCGCATGGTTGCACATTTTGCCACATTTATCGGGAGCATCCATTATCTGGACCACTCTGACAATTTGTTGAGGTCCTCTTGCAACGTAGACGTATCACTGTTGCCCTACAGCTCTCCCCAAATTTTTAAGTCATCTGCGTATAGGACCATAGGGGAGTCGGTGATCAGAGATAACTCATTGATATACAGAATAAAAAGGAGAGGACCGAGAACCGTGCCTTGTGGCATTCCGCTACTTACTGCTGTCCAGGAGGAGAGTTTTGAGTTGATCCTAACCCTCTGCCTCCTATCTATGAGGAGTTCCCTGAGCCAGTTTAGTAATCTGCCTTTGATACCAAGACTTTCCAATTCCATGAGAAGTCTTTTGTGAGGTGCTTTATCAAAGACTTTACTGAAGTCTATGAAGACGACGTCGACGAGTCTTCTGTTGTCCCTTGAATTGACTCAGCTTTCTCTTTCAGTAAGGAGATTTGACAGGCATGAGAGGTTCCTTTGGAAGCCATGCTGTGCTCTAGATAACAAGCTGCTATTTTCCCGATATGCCATGATGCTTTTGTTGATGATTCTTTCCAGTGTCTTGATTAAAGTGCTGGTGAGACTGATAAGCCTGTAATTTGAAGGGCTTTGTCTTGATCCTCCTTTGTGGATGGGGGTTACTATGGCGTCCCGACCGAAAGCTGCTACCTTGACGTGGTGGTCGGGCTTGAACACCGCAATGATCTATTCAAGCTATACTGGCTGAGACTTATGTCTCTTGAGGTTCTACCATGCCAGGCAGGTTGTTTGGATAGCGGTTAAACAAAAAGCAGCTACCCAATCCAACATCATGTCCAATACAAAATCACAAAATTTCATGCCGGATCGGCCGTGGCCCGGATTAACAACGACCGCGCTTCCTGCTGCCGTGTCACAGGGCAGGAGTGATAAATATGCTACTGAGACACACCAAACAAAAAGAACAAACAAAAACAGGCCGCGTGTGACCGGCCTCAAGCAGTTGTCCCCTGGGCTCTGCGGTCACGCAACCAACTTCCACGGTGTGGGCAGCCGGGAAGTAACAATCGCCCTCACAATCCGAAATGCACACGAAACCTCTCTATTACTCACTCATCTTTGTCTTCATCTTCATCTCTATCATCTTGCCTTCCTTCCACTGATGCAACTCCTCGACTTGATAGCTCTCCACTTCCTCTCCACTCTGCGTCCACTAAAAACGATGGAAGCCAAAAAACCACCACCGACAGCCTCTTAAAGCCGCGCCACCAATTTCATATAGGAGCTCTTAATGTTAGGACACTTTGCCAAATAGGACAACAAGCATCACTAGCCAAGACCCTGGCATCACGAGCCATTGATGTATGCTGTGTTTCAGAAACACGCATACAAGACCCAAGTGTGGTTATTCACCTAACCCCACCTGGCCAACAGGTTGAATCTGCAAAATTCACCTTGAGGGTGTCAGGAGATGCCACAGCTAGTTCACGAGGATTAGCTGGCGTAGGGATAGCTTTGAGTACTAGGGCAGAAAAGACATTGCTTGACTGGATCCCGGTAGATAGCCGAATGTGTGCTGTCCGCCTGAACGGATCAGTAAGAAGGAGGAAGGACTGCACTACTCGCCGATGCCTTTTCGTAATCTCCGCCTACGCCCCCACTGACTGCAGTTCAGATGAAACGAAGGATGAGTTCTACCAAAAGCTGTCTAGTTTGGTGCGAAAGGCTAAACGCTCAGACATAGTCGTTCTAGCTGGTGACTTTAACGCTCAAGTAGGGAAATTGTGTCAATCTGAGAAGGATGTCGGTGGCACCTATGGAGCTCCGTGCCAGCGAACCGACAACGGTGACCGTCTCCTACAGTTCTGCTCTGATAATCATTTGTTTCTTGTAAGCACTAACTTTAAACACAAGGAGAGACACTGTTTGACTTGGAGACCCCCTTCATCAAACCAACGCTGGACACAAATAGACCACATAGCAATAAGCTATCGTTGGCGTGGGTCGGTAGGAGATTGTCGCTCCTTCTGGAACACGTGCGTAGATACCGACCATGCACTGGTCCGCGCTCGGGTGTGCTTACGACTGAACGGACGTAGGAAACAGCTGGCGGTAAAACCATCACGTCCCCAGCTCGATCAGGAAACTAAATCCGTATTTGAGGAAGAACTAGCTAAACACATATCTGTGTTCGACAGCTGTGCTCACCCTGAAGAAGCTTGGAAAAATATCCAGGCAGCCATAGATACAGCTGTAAAAGCTGTGAATAAGGTAAACCCAAAGGTGAGTAAAAACCACTGGATCTCCACCGCCTCATCCGAACTGATAGATGCTAGAAGACTTATTCCGGCGAGCTCCGAATTCAATGAGGAGCGAAAGCTGCACAAGAGGAAACTTACGAAAAGTCTCCGCAAGGACCGTGAACAGTGGTGGGCGACAAAAGCCAAAGAGATGGAGAAAGCTTCGAGGATAGGCAACACCAGGCAACTCTTTGGACTCATCAGGGAAACGGGTGGGAGAAGACAAATCATCAGTGAGACAATCTCGGAAAAAAATGGCACTATAATTAGCTCCCAGGATAGACGACTGGATCGTTGGAAAGAGCATTATGAGGAGCAGTTTAATTTGCCCACAGCCACGCTCAACCTTCCGAGCATCCAACACCTCCCTGAATGGGATATAGACACAGGTCCTCCGTCACTAACTGAGGTTACTAAAGCTGTCACCAATCTGAAACTAGGCAAAGCAGCGGGACCTGATGGAATGACTCCAGAGGTATTTAAGTACGGTGGAGACAGCTTACTGTCCGGATTAACTGAGGTACTAGGCAGCGTCTGGGAATCAGAAGAAGTCCCATCGGGTTGGTGTAAGTCACTGATTATCCCCATATACAAGAAGGGAGACAAGTCTTCCTGTGATAATCACAGAGGGATTAGCTTGACTAATATAGTATCTAAAGTCTTAGGCTCAATAATCATGCGTAGACTGAGTGGTGCTCGGGAAGCACAAACACGAGAGAGCCAGGCAGGCTTTAGACCAGGAAGAGGGTGTATTGATCATATCTTCACCCTCCGACAGATTCTAGAACATAGGCATTCCTACCGGCGTCCAACAGTCATTATATTTCTTGACCTAAAGGCAGCATTCGACTCTGTCGATCGGGAAGTTCTCTGGAGATGCTTGGCTGTAAAGGGAATTCCGAGAAAATATATTGCACTGATTAAGGCACTCTATTCGTACTCATACAGCCAGGTGAGGGCTTACGGCGAGCTGTCATCTGAACTGATGACGACCAGTGGTGTCCGTCAAGGATGCCCATTATCTCCTTTTCTATTCAACTTCATCATAGATGTGTTAATGGACTTAACCCTAGGTGACTTCAGCGACTCAGGGATTGACTTGCTACCTGGGAATAATCTCGTTGACTTGGAATATGCAGACGATATAGTCCTTCTAGGCGAAGACGCTGACGAAATGCAGAGTCTTCTAAACACCTTGAGCCGCAATCTACGAATGTTTGGCATGCGATTCGCTCCCGCCAAATGCAAGATGATGTTACAGGACTGGACTACATCGACGCCTAGTTTAAAAATAGGAAGTGAAGTGGTAGAGCACGTTGACCGCTTCACTTATTTGGGAAGTACCATCAGCCCCAACGGGCTGATCTCTGACGAAATCTCAGCACGAATACAAGGGGCTCGTTTCGCATTTGTTAGTTTACGCCGACTCTGGCGTAGACGAGATGTTCGACTATCGACCAAAGGGCGGGTGTACTGCTCATCAGTCCGCTCCGTCCTCCTTTATGGTTGTGAGACCTGGCCACTGAGAGTGGAAGACATGAAAAGACTAGCTGTCTTTGATCATAGGTGCCTGCGTTCTATTTCCCGTGTAAAGTGGCATAATAAGGTGAGCAACATGGAGGTTAGGCGTAGAGTTCTAGGTAAACAGGGGAAATCAATCGACGAAGTCGTGAAGCTACAAAGACTGAGATGGTTAGGACATGTGTTACGTATGCCAAGCCATCGCCTCCCTCGACGAGCAATGTTAGCGGATATAGGGTCAGGCTGGAAAAAAGCTAGCGGCGGTCAAACAAAAACTTGGCATCAGTCAATGAAATCCACAACAGTTGGTCTAAGCCACGTAGGAAGGTGTAGACTTCCAGGCTGGGGTCCTCGGGACGGTAAAAATCTATGGTTGGAAACAATTGGTGACATGGCTCAAAATCGTTCTCAGTGGCGCAGATGCATCCACTTCCTGTGACTTATGATCTCCAATGAAACTGTTTTGTTCTTCTTTATTACTCCTTTGTCTCACACCTCTGCTCACTGTTTCTATTATGCTTTTCTTGTACTTTCTTCTCTTGCTTCGCGTGCTACACGGAATGTGGCGACTTGAACTTCCGCACATTTGTGCAAAGTTCTATGTCGAAAACAGACAGACAGACAGACATGGCGTCTTTCCAGTCACGCGGTAACACTCCATTTAGGAGAGATAACTTGAAGATCGTGGTCAAAGGGGCGGCTGATAACTCTTTGAGAAGCCTTGGATGAAGATTATCAGGACC